TGAAATTGCTTCTTTACCACCTTAATTTTTCTCTTCTATTGTGTGATTTAGACTGTAAGCCTTCAGTGCAACGACTTTCTTGTTTTTATGGATAAACTGTAAGCTGTACTGGGAGGCTTTTCAGCTGAAGAGAGGGATAAAGATGGTTTACAAAAATTAATTAGTAACGGGAGTTGAAATGTAAAAAAATAACTGATAGACTGAGAAAGACCTCTGTCCAAGACCCAGGAGTAAGGATGTCTGAGTCTATGTATTTTTATTTCTTGTATCACTTTCACATGTTTTTGCAGATAATTTCATTCAATTTCTGCATTTCTTTAAAACAAAAAATAGCAGCAAAATCTATTTTTAAATGCAGATTTTAATATGATTAAACTACTGAGACCTGCATCACAGCTTTCAGAGATTCTGACAGTATATTCGCGAAGGCTTTCACGGCCGGGATGTAATGGTTGTTGTGGGTTTTTTGGGCTCTTTGGCCGTTTTCTGAAGGCTTTTCTTCCTAATGTTTCGCCAGTCTCTGTGGCCAGACACACTAGTCACCCATCTACAGAAAAAAAGCCTATCTCACAGCCATAAATACTGCACTCCCAAGCCAACTACACCAGAGCACAGAGTGCTGTCCTCTGAAGATGCCAGCCACAGAGACTGGCGAAACGTTAGGAAGAAAAACCTTCAGAACACGGCCAAAGAGCCCAAAAAACCCACAATAATCATTCTGACAGTAATTATATGTCGAAATTCGCAGAGATGGAATTCTCTGAATGACTGTCAGTTACAGTGTACAATATCATATAAATTAGTCAGTCCAAGTCCCAAACCTGCAAGTCCTCCTTCTTTTCTCATTTCATATTGCAAGGGAAGGGGTGCAGGATCAGTGTCTGCTTTTAAATTTCAGTTTTCTGTGGCCTTCAAACTCAGCCAACTGTGGTTTGTATAGAACAACAACAAGCTAAGATCAAACCACAGTTTCATAGTTCACACTTCAAAGTTGTTTAAACAAAACACAGGTCCTAGAGCATGGATTATTTGTTGTTAGTTTAGAATTCATATTGCAAGGGAAGGGGTGCAGGATCAGTGTCTGCTTTTAAATTTCAGTTTTCTGTGGCCTTCAAACTCAGCCAACTGTGGTTTGTATAGAACAACAACAAGCTAAGATCAAACCACAGTTTCATAGTTCACACTTCAAAGTTGTTTAAACAAAACACAGGTCCTAGAGCATGGATTATTTGTTGTTAGTTTAGAACAGAACAGAGGAAAGGAAAAGCTTTGTATTTCTTTAGCTTGGAGGAGAGAGCAAGGGGAAGCATGCAAATGTATGGGTTTGTATGGGTTTATCCATGTAACAGAACATGATGGTTTCCCATTATATGTAAAAATAGAAGTCAATATTTGATTGGTGGATCTACAAGTACTGTTATAGTACTTGTAGTATTTACTTTTGAGTAAATCCTATGGAACACAATGGAGCACAATTTAGACATTATAGGATTGTGCAATTAATTGTCAGGATGCTTTTGGGAATGTGTGTGTGTTTCCAAGGTAAAATAGGAAACAGCTGATAATAAAAGAGATACTGGTTGTATTTCAAGGTGCAGACCTAGTAATGCAACTAGCATCTCATTAATTAACTGGGATTCACGGCAGTGAGTTATACAATTTAACTTATGCACGTTTACTGTATATTACCAACAAGATTCTAGCCAATGAACATGTTACATGGCATATTAGGAATTCAGACACATGGAAATGCTCTTTACAAAGACTATGAGACTTTTCATTCAATAAACTGAGAATAAGTGGAAAATAGCATTCTATTGTACATTATTGACATTGTGCAATGGGCTTTCGATAAAGGTCTATGGAAACTGAAGACCGAATCAAGACTGAACAAACCACTTTGTAATCTCATGAAACCACGATAAATATCTTTAAAAGTATAATGATTTATAGTGAGTATAGTATTCTACTACATATTAGAAGTAGTTAATTCTTACCTTGGGTATATTTGTTGTCTTCACTGTCAGTTTTATAACAGTAACCCAACACCAGAACAACATTCTTGAGGCTTCCTTTTGCCAAAATGGGAGGGTGGGGTGGGAGGGGAAAGAGAGATAAGACCTATATTACTTAAAATTACTTAAAATTTCAGGTTTGTTGATTTTTCCATTCCTTTGTAGTCTTTCCTGGCCCCTAAAGATTCCCCAGACTGTGATAGGGCTTTTTTGGAGACAAGGGGCTCAGTGGTCACAATGGCAATAATTACAGTTGAATCAGTTTTAGCATTATTTAAATTGATTTATAAATTCCCAGGCACATGATGCATGGGGTCAACTTCATTGATTTGGACTACAAAACCAGTTTTTATTTTTAAAAGGCTGGTAAGGGCTTTTTAAAATACCTACGTTCCTTAACTGATTAATTTCAATTTGGTGTGCTAGTTGTGAATGCTGCTGTTGTTTTAATTTGTGCTCATGGATAGCAGGGGTGACATCATTTTTCTTTTTAATTTTTTTAATTCTTTATTTAATTTTTTAGCAATGCATCACTTAGGGCAGTATGACCACGTAAGAGGTGCACAACCACTTCAGCTGGTATCTTTTTGAGACATAACAGGTTGACACCAGTGAAAGGGAAAGAGGTACCATATATTAAATTCAATCTCTATGGATTTCCTATTGGGCTTTGAAATAATTTTATATTAATGCAGCCATTGATTATTGATATATCACTTTTTTAAAAATTACAGCCAATAATTTAACCTCAAACAGAACCTGAAACAGGAAATTTAACCTCAACTAATTTAACCTCAATCAGGTGGCCAGCACAATTCCAGTGTAACTTCTCAAATGAGTTTTAGGTACCAGAAATACATAAAACTAACTTCAAAGTGAATGTGCATACTTATTATATACTGTGTGACTTTACATTGATATATAAAAAAGTCTGGACTGGAATTGATGTACATTGGCAGTTGACCAAGAGAAGCAAACTCACTCTACACTGGGTGTACACTGCCTGTACTTTGATGCCATGTCATAACTCAGAGCTGAATTTCACAAAGACATAAACAATCAGAACACTGCAGATAGTAAACAACACACAACCATCACTGTACCAGAAATATAACAAATATTTCCAATGCACTGAAAATGTTGTCATTAATTTTTGTGGTTTGGAGGTGATGACTCAGGAATTCTGGTTTTAGCTCAGCCAGTCATTTGCTTGCAGTTACTGCTTGTAGTAGATGTTAAGTTTTTTTAATCTGACTCTTTCTGCTGTTAACATTAAGTAAGGCAAGTTGCATGATGCAACTTCGTTATCTGGCACACTTCTCAATTACCACAAGGCGCAACTAACAAAGTAGAGTGGATCTGAGGAAATTAACATGATAGTGTCATGCTTTTTGTCTTGTTCAAGGTTAACAGGAAGACATAGGAGCCTTTTGCTCTAGTGGTGCCAACTCTCAAAACATAAAAAAATCTGGTCTCAAGTTCTACACATATGATTTAACTACTTGTTTCATGGTATTTAATTAACAGATTTCCAAATCTCACACCTGAGGATGCAGTCTTGTATGTATTTAACTGGAAATAAATTTTACTACTGAGACTTACTTCTGGGCTGATACAAATACTACCCAATGTGGTTTAGTGCAGTGGTTCTCAACCTTGAGTAACTTAGGTGTTCTTGGACTGCTGTTCCCAGAAATCCTGGCCAGCACAACTAGTGGGGAAGGCTTCTGGAAACTGCAGTCCAAGAACACCTGAGTTACCCAAGGCTGGGAACCACTGGTGTAGTGGACAGAGTGATAGACTAGGACTCTGGAGGCCTGGGTTCAAATCTCCACTTAGCCATGGAAACTCACTTGGGGGAGTGGAACTGGTAAAACTACTCCTTAAATTTCTCATTTACCTTGAAAACCCTATTAGGATTGCTATAAATTGGCTCCGACTAGACAAGAATGCCTAGTTAGGATGCACAGTAAGAGTCATGGCTAGAAAACAAGGAAGGCCATATTATACATAAACTGGGCACTAGAAAGTGCATTTCTCATGAGTGATGGCCTTTTTTGTGGCCCTGGGAGTCACTCCGGGGTTCATGGGTAGAGAGTTGCTGATATAAGTTCATTGGGGCTTACCTCCAAGTACATCCATGTTGGGTTGCAGATACTAAAATGAATAAACTAATCGCCAAACAAAGCAAGTTAATTTGTATAATCCCAGAGATGAGAGAAGATTGTGTTGCGACATTTAGATGTTCACATTAGTTATGAATTTCCCTCTTCCAGTCATGGGCATTAATGTTTGTTTCCAGCTCAGACACATATATTAGCTAAGGTTTTTGCTCTTCTAGTTATAGACAATCTCTAATGGCTGCTTCTGGACATAAACATCTCCTGCCAATGCACCTTGCAACATTGTCCATGGATTAAAATATGTCTCTCAACTCCATGAATAAAGGTCAGAAAACAAACATATAAAATGAATCAAACACAAAATGCAAGCAAGAATAGATGTGTGGGTTACAAGAAATCCTCAAAAACCCACAATGTGGCAGTACCTTTATTAAGGCCAACTTAAAAGACAAAAACATTTCTGTAAGCTTTTGAGATCGTAGAGCTCTTCCTGAGGCAAAAATAGACTAAAGCGTCACATTCCTGGAACCCTAATATAGATTCTGTCCGTGCTTTGCTTACCTAGTTGAGCTGTAATCATGAGTCTGACAGAATCACAGAAATCGCTTATGATTTTTATGAGGCAACGAGTGGAGAGGTCAAGCAATAAGATATGTCCTCCCCCTGTGCCTATCCAGAGGGCTGTGTTCTTCTGCAGGCAGATGCTCTTTACTCTTCCAGGATATGCAAGCTTCTGCTTGGATTCTTTATTCAGTTTTGGTACCTCCTCTCTGAAAAATGAGCACAACATTTTATATTGAAAGTGTGTTCGATTGTGTTCTCTCTCTCTCTCTCTCTCTCTTTTTTTTTTTTTACAAATTCAGGTTCCTCTAAACCTCTAATTAATATAAAGTTTAGAAAGTTAAAAGATTTGTAAATTGGCCGGTGCTTGACACCTTCTGAGCTGGCTTTCATTAAATGGTCATAAATGCTTTGAACTATACTGCTTTCACATATTCTTTCACATGAGGTTTGCAGCTTGGGCTGTCCATCTGGATCTGGTGCTTACTATGGAAAACCAGGTAGTGTCAGTGGTCCGTATTGCCTACTTCCATCTTTGGCAGATTGCCCAGCTGCGTCCCTATCTTGATAGTGGGGTGCTCACCACTCTGGTCTATGCACTTGTAATCTCAAGATTAGACTATTGTAATGTGCTCTATGTGGGACTACCTTTGAGATTGATGCAGAAATGACAAATGGTACAGAATGCGGTGGCCAGACTTCTCACTAGGGTGAGAAACATTAACATCCCCCACTCTGGCTGCCTTGCACTGGCTGCCCATTCGTTTCCACATTGATTTCAAAGTATTAACGATGACATATAAAGCCCTAAATGGTCTAGGACCTCGATATCTAGTGGAATGCCTTCTCCCGCCTAGATCACTGGTTCTAGCCAGGATGGGCAGCTGAGGGGCCTAGTGCCAAGGGAGGCTCGGAGAGAAAGAACAAGAAACTGGGCCTCCTCAGCAGTGGCCCCTCGCCTTTGGAACAGTCTGCTTCCAGATATTTGTCTGGCTCCCTTGTTGGGTGTTTTTAAGAACAAACTTAAGACCTGGCTCTTTAGGCAGGCCTTCCCTCCTGTCATTACTTGAGATTTATTCTTGAATTATATCAATGCTATTGTTTTATTTTATATTGTTATTATTTTGTGAATTGCTGTTAGCCACCCAGAGTAGACTTCGGTCTAGATGGGTGGGATATAAATAAATAAATAAATAAATAAATAAATAAATAAATAAATAAATAAATAAATAAATAAACGAACAAACAAACAAATAAATATTTTACAATATTTCAAATATTACAGTTTATTTTAATTTTAACAATGATATTCTCTCCCCCACTCCCAGTTGCTTAAAGCTTTAAGTTGGAAAATTCCATTCTAATTGGAAAAAGAACTTGTAAGTTAATCAAAGAAGGATATATGTTCTAATATGCCGGTCAAAAGAGTTGATCAGCATAGAGATCAATTTGTACTATTTTGCTGCATTGCCTGAGCTTGTTTTGCTGTAAGAGTTCTTTCAGTCTTTTGACACCATCATTTTACTTGGGAAATTAGCCTGTCTACCCACATTACCCTGATTCTGCTGTAATAGCTCTAGGGAGGACATTCAGTGCTCACTTTAGAAAATGCACACAGTCGATCAGCTCACAAAGTTTCTCTGTCTTTTTATCCCAAATTTCAACAAAATAGCTATTCTTCTTTGCCAGGTAGATGGATTTGTCAACTGCTATTGAAATAATATTGGCATCACTGTAAGCCTTGTGGCACAATCTGAGATAAAACAGGCACAGAGAGGGGGGGGGAGAGAAGAGAAGAGCAAAATATCAAAATGGTAAACTTGAGTATCTCTGAGAAACTATGCTTACAAAGGATGTCACACACCCAAACACCCATTTCCATTTCTGATGTAACCCTGGAGAAAACCAGTGATGGATGATATCAACAATTGACTTCTGTAACGATTGTGCAGGCAATGTCAGCTGGAAGTTATTACCACTCTATTGCACAATCTTTATAGAAGGACTGTAAGTTTATTATTGATATCATTTTAGATCAGATGCTGGATGTACACACCTCACAGAGAAACCAGCAGAAGTTGCATTGGTGGCAAAAGTGTTCAATAAAGTGTTCAATAAAGGACAGTGTTCAATAAAGTAAGTTCCACTGATCAAACTCCTCCTACTTCATTTAGGAAAGCTAACCAATCAATCTGTGCCTAACGGCCTCCTCAGAACCTGCTCAAGGAGGAGGGTAGGGGACGAATGTTCTGTCTCCCTAACATCCAGACACTAACTACATTCGTTTAAAACATCACATAGGTTAACAGTATGGAAATAAATGGAAACAAACACACAGGAGGAAATTGCACAGCATTTATGTAAATCTGAAAGTATTGGACTTCATGAATCTTTTGTCAATGAGTACAACCCAAAATGAGCTTATTTGCAAAACCTGGACGGTTCATTTAACTGTATCATATTAACCATATTTTACAGTTGAGAAAACTGATTAAGGTCTCCTTTCGGTTGGTAAAGGACCCTATCCCTCTACCTCATCCAAAATATACAGGTGAGACAACAATAAAGTACCACAAAATCTGGGAAAAAATCATTTTGAAAATCAAATTGATATATTTTAAAGAAAGCAAGTAGGGGAGAGAGAAAAGCCATTACTTTAATTTTAAAACAATAAAACAAACTCACAGTTGGCTTGTTTTTGTCTCGATTAGCTTCTGGACTGACAGGTCACTGGACAATGATACAATCTTTGTCCCACAGCCTCCCCAGATTACATTTTTTTCAGACAGATAACTAGATTCACTTAAACACATAAATGGAGTGCTGATGTTCCCAACTGGAAAAACTTTCAAAGGTGCCGCACCTTTGTACTGAAAATGCAGATGAGACAATGAGAGAAATGTCAGTTGCTTCACAAAAGACAGGATATTGCCACTTGCTCGTCACTGTCTTAACATTTTGAGCATCCTTGCAAATACTGTAAGACAAATTTTAAAGTTACTGGAAGAGCAATCCTTGGCAGGCCTGCTAAGAAGCAAACCCCACTGAAATTAATTGGGTTTACTACTAGCTATGTACATAAGAGACTTGTAGTCCACAGCACTTAAGTATACAGTAGATCAATACGCATCTGTGACTTAGACGAATTGAGTCAGCATGAAGAGAAACAATTGCCTCCGGAGTCACACTGATAGGTTATCGGTGCCTGCAAAGAGCCTATTTGGAACACTCCAGAGTAGATCCTTATGGTGGTAACCCAATCCACCCTCCCAAACCTATATAATCCAGATTCAGTTCTTTTTCATCTGCCACCAGAGTGACATTGACTTGGATAACTGGATAACTCTCACTGAATTTTTTACGCTTGTAATCATCTCTATTCCCTTCTTCCCCCCCCACTTACTATCGTATTTCCTGTTTTTCTTCCCTTGTCACAATATAGTTAACACTAGCTTGTTGATTGTTCTTTTTGATGCTTCACAGGCTTTGCCCATGCATATGGCCCCCTAAGGCCTTGTTCAAGAAATGCAGTTCATGGGGTGGCAGTAGTGCCCCCTATGGACAGACATTCTAAGTGCGTCTTTTGATCCCAGCTCTGCTTGATTTGCAAAAATTTAACCAAAGAAGGCCATTGTATTCTCGAAGGCTTTCACGGCCAGGATCTGATGGTTGTTGTGGGTTTTTCGGGCTCTTTGGCTGTGTTCTGAAGGTTTTTTTTCCTGATGTTTCGCCTGTCTCTGTGGCCGGCATCTTTAGAGGTCTGGAATAGGAACTCTGTCCATGCTCTGTTGCCGTTTGTTGGATAGTTGAGTATTTATAGCTGTGGGAACACCTTTT